TCTTGGTCGATTCTCTGCAAGCCTGTGCTTTGCCAATTTAGTTCGATTGTGCTATTAAAATCATCAGCAATTATCTGCGATGAATCGCTTACAATCGGTACACATAGTTCCAAGTAGTATTGATTAATAGCACACATTTGGAGCATCATGCAATCCATAGCAAATAATCGCTCTGACATGCTTCATTGTTCCCTGTGTGTAGCAACTAGGGATGCACCGATACCACTTTTTTAAGGCCGAGTACGAGTACCGATACTTTTTTTCAAGTACTCGTCGATACCAATTACCGATACTTTTTCTTAAAGGGACAGGTCACATTTTTTCTAAAGCAATACAAAATCATGATTTTAGGTCAGTTTCTTAATATTATGAAGAACATGAGCACTCTGTAGTGTGGCACAGCTATATCCAATTCTGCATACCTGGCTTTATATTATAAGAACTTTATAATATAAAGCCAGGTATGCAGAATTGGATACAGCTGTTCCACACTATACAATAATACACTGTTCTGGAGTCTGGAAATCACCAACCTTGGGCGATTAAGTAGCATTAAAAGCAGCCTAAGGCCCCATTCACACGTAGCGACATACCTTTTGCAGCGGCCGGGATAGCGTGACTTTCGGGGCGACGTTCCAGCGGCGGTAGCGCGACCTTCTCCGTCGGGCTCCATTAGAAAAAAGCAAAATCGTGCAAAATCCGCCGAAAAAAGGGTCCTGTAGAAGCGACTTGCGACCGCGACGAGCGACATGGAGCTAAGACAGCTCCATTGAATATCATTAGCCGGCGACTTCTCGCTATATCGCACGGCAAAAATGTGCGATAATGGGGCCTAAGGGTGAGCAGTGGCCGCCAGAAGCCTACTCACATATGGTGGAAAAAAAATGAAGAGTCTACTCAATCATCAATGGGGACCACAACATTCGTAACAGGTTGTTTTCACTGAGAAGTATATTGAGGATAAGAGGACTCAACAAGAGGTTAGAAGAGTGGGGGTTAAATTTTAGACTGCGCAGGGATTTTTTTTTACTGTAAGCGTAGTAAAAATGTGGAATTCCCTTCCACAGGCAACGGTATCCTCGGAAAGTGTTGATAAATTCAAGAAACTTCTAAATGAGTGTAGCGCTCACCCCCGAAGGAGCCGCTGAGTATGAAATGGGTTCTCCTACCTGTTTGTTCCAGCCACCCTTTGTTCAGCAGCAGCAAGCCGACACTCATGGACAGAAACAGGCTCTAGTCTTAGGGTCTTTTAGGGTATTTGGCAAATTCAACAGGAGAGAGAGGGTTTAGGGTCTGTAGGATGCCCTGGAGGATTCTTCTGAGGACAGCTTTCTCCCTTAGCAACAGCTAAGGCCGATATCACTATGATCTGGTCCCAGAGACCAATGGCATTAGCAATACTGCGAACAGCCAGGAGGGTCCAGTAACTTATAAAGAGAAGGTTAGCTATCTCTGGATTCAGGTAAGGACCGCTGGCTTCTTCTCGAACAGATACCTGGAATAGGGTGAGGGATCTCCCTTGTGGGTCCCAGACGGATGCTCTCACCAGCTCCTCTGCGGTACCCCTCAACAAGCAGACTCTCCCTCCGACCCAGCTTCCATCAGGTATTTTCCTCATCAGGATCTGGAATTTCTGTGCCCTCAGCATCTGCAACTGCCAAGGAGCACTCCAGGTTAGTGGTAGTATCTTCTAGAACAAGGCACCCAACACCTGCCACGTGTATGGGGCCCAAGCAAAGTTCCTATGGAGTCCTAGGCCTGCAGGCCCCAGCACCTGCCATGTGCTGAGGCCCAGGCCATTTGCTTGCATCACACAGACCTCCTAGGGTGAGGCCCCCAGGGGGAAGAAGAGACCTCTGGACAGTGTCCCCAGACCTTTTATTACCTGCCCTCAACCATGCCTCTGAGTCATCCTACTCAGGGATTGGCTAGGGTCAGGTGCATAGTCATAATCTAAGGATGGATCCTCCCTCACTGTCTGCCAAGGCTCCCTTTTCCTCAGCAACAGGAGGAGCAATCAATCCAGCAGATTCAGGAACACCTATAGAATGGAGAGCCCTGCATGATCAGCATCTAGACTGGTTACAGTCCAGGTATCTCTAAATTAAATAGCGACATTTTAGAGGGCGCTACATGAGTTTCTTCTTTCACTTCATATTCAAGGATATTGGAAGGCTTAGAGTCATCTATATACAAACACACACATAGGTTGACCTAGATGGAACCTTGTCTTTATTCAACCTCACCTACTATGTTACTCAGCACAAACAATGCACGAAATGTACTGGTGTCATAGTAGAACATTCAAGTAAAACAGTGTTATGCTGGGCACACACCTTAACACCATCACAAGACTTTTGTCTTGCGATGGTTGTAAGGTACTTACAAAAAACGTACGATCCGCTTGCGCACACCGGCCTGTCCGGCTTTTATCGTACGAACATGCTACACACCCGCCGAACATCGTACATGTTCGTAAGTTAAAAGTCGTGCGACCTTACAGTAGCAGAGGTCGCACGGCTTCCACACACCTTACGATAATCGTACGATCGTGGGATTTCCCGCGATTATCGTACGATTTTCGTAAGGTGTGTGGGCACCCTTAGTTAACTTTGATGGTTGTATCATGACCTCAGAGCCAATGCATTCCACCCTTCGCTTTCCAAACATTCTTGGGGAATACAGGGCTGAGCGATTGCCCTGGAAGAGAAGGGATAGGAGTCTCTTCCGTCAAAAAGCTCTGCCTACTAGTATACATTTTTGGGGGCTTCAGTTCTGCTTTAAAGCCCCCCCCCCCCTTCCCTTTCTGAATTCCTCCTCGGATGTATTAAAAAATACATTATACATACCCCTTTTCCTTAAGGGGTCATTCACACGGATGTGCGCATCCATACAGCATACACGCCTGTGCAGAAACCTGATCCCATGATGGACAGGTCTTGCATGTAATTGGGCGCAGCAGCTTGTACCTTCCTGTTGGAGGATGCAGCTACACGCAGACCCAAACCTGCACATCCATGCAGGTCCAGATGCCTGCACTTGGGCACAGACAGTGTGCGGGGCGGGGGGAAGATTTGCATGGCAACCAATCAACTTCTCTCTTCAGTTTGTTCAGTTAAGATTTGAAAATGAAAGAGAGAAGCTGATTGGTTGCCATGCACATCTGCTCCAGTTTTGATAAATTCCCTTCATTAAATGTTCGCCTCTCTGGCAGCTTGTTTCTCCTACTGTACCTTCCCTCTGTTCCAGCAGTGCAGTCCCTGAAAGCCTCTTCCGTTATCAATGCTTCTGGAAATGTCAGATGCCTGCATCTCCCACTATGTGCTTGTTCCTCTCTCTGACCCTTTACATCACTGCAGGAATCCAAAGTGACATAGTGGTCAGAAGAAGGAACAGGAGGAGGCAAGAGATACAAGCATCCAGTTTTGGTCTGCTCCAGTTTCAATAGATTCCCCTCTGTGTGTCCACCCGGACCGGCATGCATGTGCAGATTTGGGTCTCTGTGTAACTGCATGCAGCTCCGTCTTCCCATAGGAAGGTACAGACTGCTGCATGCACTTATATGTATTGCCTGACCCTCCGTGGATGGTGTCTCTGCACGGGTATGCATGGCGTATGGATGTGCATGCCCATGTGAATGGCCCCGAAGTCTTCAGTCTGGTCAGCTGATGTCACGGGTCCTTTCTTCTATTATCCATTCACAAAATGCCTTCTTATAAAGCAAGATAGTGAAGGGAGGAGAATGATGGGACTGGAGTGCTGTGCCTAGAGTGATGGGACTGGAGTGCTGTGCCTAGAGTGATGGGACTGGAGTGCTGTGCCTAGAGTGATGGGACTGGAGTGCTGTGCCTAGAGTGATGGGACTGGAGTGCTGTGCCTAGAGTGATGGGACTGGAGTGCTGTGCCTAGAGTGATGGGACTGGAGTGCTGTGCCTAGAGTGATGGGACTGGAGTGCTGTGCCTAGAGTGATGGGACTGGAGTGCTGTGCCTAGAGTGATGGGACTGGAGTGCTGTGCCTAGAGTGATGGGACTGGAGTGCTGTGCCTAGAGTGATGGGACTGGAGTGCTGTGCCTAGAGTGATGGGACTGGAGTGCTGTGCCTAGAGTGATGGGACTGGAGTCCTGTACCTAGAGTGATGGGACTGGAGTGCTGTGCCTAGATTGATGGGACTGGAGTGCTGTGCCTAGATTGATGGGACTGGAGTGCTGTTCCTAGAGTGATGGGACTGGAGTGCTGTGCCTAGATTGATGGGACTCAAGTGCTGTGCCTAGATTGATGGGACTGGAGTGCTGTACCTAGAGTGATGGGACTGTAGTGCTGTGCCTAGAGTGATGGTACTGGAGTGCTGTGCCTAGAGTGATGGTACTGGAGTGCTGTGCCGAGAGTGATGGGACTGGAGTGGTGTGCCTAGATTGATGGGACTGGAGTGCTGTACCTAGAGTGATGGGACTGGAGTGCTGTGCCTAGATTGATGGGACTGGAGTGCTGTACCTGGAGTGCTGTGCCTAGAGTGATGGGACTGGAGTGCTGCACCTAGAGTGATGGGACTGGAGTGCTGTACCTAGTAATGGGACTGGAGTTCTGTAGTGAACGCATCCCTCCCTTGCCTCTGTGCCCAGAAGAGCGTTATACATAGGAGCCAGCATGTTGCAAGGTATACTTTGCAATAGCCCTCCACAGATAAGTAAAGCTTTTAAATAGGAATTTGCACACCCAGCACACTGTGTAAATTATCATTTTGCCTGGTGTGTGGATTTTTTTTTTTTTGCTGGAAAGTGAAATATGCCTTTAAAAAAATTATAAGAAAAGGGGGCGAGGTTCCTCTTGCAATACACTGTATCAGTGGTGGTTTAGAATGATGTCCCAGTGGGCAGAAGCGTAGAGATGGTGCAGAGTTTAGGAAAAAATAGAGTGTACATTGCAAGGACTAGCACGCCATAATTAGACCGGATGTACCACAACACCCATGTATATATACATGCCTTCAAAGTGTGTTCCGGTCACGTGTGCATACACCAATGCCGGAAGTGCAGACATGGCAGTGGTAGGGAGCAGGACTCCGATCCTGTGTTTATTGCTCATTTCATTTTTCATCCTGCTGTTCTCCAGGAGTCACCCGCTAGGTATACGATAGAACCGCTCATCATATATACTCTGCTGTCATTTCACCTCATAGATTTTCGCTGCGAGAATTCGGGCACCTAATGAAGGAATTAATTCCTCCATTGACCACCAGAGGGCAGCACCTTGTCATCCCCATATACATTATTATTATACTGGAAAGAAGATTCTAAATCTTTTTTGATGTCGGTTTAAAGCAAAGATGGGATTACGCTCCAGGATAGGCACGTTTTATTTGATTGCAATGTCTGCAGTTTTCAGGGATGATCACAATGTTGTTGCTGCTGCAGGCAGAGAGTTACATACGTCATACATAGGTGACCTGCTAATCTGCTGAAAGGTTTACAACTCTTTTAATCCCGTCGTGTGATGCAGAAAGCACATTCAGTTGTTGAAGCTTACTGCCTACTACATAGCATTTAAAGAAGGACCCCAGCCAAAATGTGCTTAACCATTCCAATGGGGGTGCCCCTGCACTGCAAGGGTTAAGTGCTCGTTTTATCTAGGTGCAAAATAACAAAGATATACTTACCCTGACCTCTGAGCCGGCCGGCTGTTAGACCGGTTCTTCCAGCCTCTCTGCCCCCTCAGCTGCAGCGGTCTAAGGTCGCGTCAGTCATCACATCCACTACAGTGTATAAGATGTGAGGACACTGAGGGGCATACTATTGCTGGAATGGAGGAAAAGACAGGCTGCAGGGACCGGTCTAATAGCCAGCTGGCTGCAAGGCTCAGATGAGTATAACTTAGAAAATGCTTGCCCAGCGTTCTTTAAAAAAGAACTCTGGGTGAAAACCTTTCCCTTGCAGTGGGGCTACCCTGCACTGCAAATGTTAGTTGCTTGTTTAGGCAAGGGGGCTTAAATAAAGCAGTTTTACTCGCCTGATCCTCAGTCCCACCGTAGTCAGCACTGGCCTCTCTCCTCGATCCACTCCGGGTGTGATATGACCCTCGCCGTCCTTACGTCTAATGTAGGGCTGCAACAACTAATCGCCATAATCGATTATAATCGATTATTGAAAAAGTTGTCAACTTTTTCAATAATCGATTAATCGGCTTCCGATCAGTTGGCCCTGTTCACAGCTCCACACGCTGTGCGCCGCACCTCCTCCCCACCTCACGCTCGCCGCTGCCAGACTCGCCTGCCCGCATCCACACGCCGCACCTCCTCCCCGCCTCACACTCACCGCCCACCCACATCCACGATCGGCACAGGGACGCACAGGGAGATGTAGTAAGGAGGAGCAGGTGTGGGGTGATGACAGCCGCCGATAGACAGGTCCGATCTCAGAAGCAAGTTGCTGGAAGACTGCTCAGGTAAGCTTTTCCACACGTGGTGCTCTATAATGTATTGCTGGGATTTGTATTCCTCTATAGCTGATGGTACATTGTGCTGTATATTATACATATGAATACAAATCCCAGCAATACATTATACACTGTATGTATAATGTATTGCTGGGATTTGTTGTACTCCTATATAGCTGGTGGTATTCTGCATTGCGTTGTATAGGGGAATACAAATCCCAGCAATAATACATTATACAGCGCAATGCGGAATACCACCAGCTATAGAAGAGTACAAAAAATCCCAGCAATAGTACATTAGACAGTGGTGCAATGCTGAATACCACCAGCTATAGAGGACTACAAAACCCAGCAATAGTACATTATACAGCGCAATGCAGAATGCCGCCAGCTATTATGTACTATTGCTTGGATTTGTTGTATTCCTCTATAGCTGGTGGTATTCTGCATTCATTGCTGTATAATTTAACACTTTCCATTTCACTATATTGCACACCACACTTTTTTTTTTCTTTTTTACTTCCACCGCTCCAAGCTTGCTCCTGTGATGGACTACAACCTCAATACAAACTAGTAGTCCCATCACTGGAGCCTTTTTTTGAACTCTATTTTATGGTTTATCCGATTAACCGATTAATCGAACCTAATAATCGACTAACTAATCGATTTTGGAAATAATCGTTAGCTGCAGCTCTAGTCTAATGCAAGTCAATAGGCCTGCGTAAGACGTGATGATGTCAGAGGTCCTTACACCATCGGAGTCCAGGGGAGAGGAGGCTGTCTAGTAACCAAGAATCAGGTGACTATATCTGCTTTACTTGAGCCTCCTGGACAAAACAAGCACTTAACCCTTGCAGCGAGGCAGTAGCCCCACTGCATGGGTAAGTTTTTTTGTTTTTTTTTTGCCCGGAGTTCTTCTTTAACAAGAATATAAGCTCAATTCACTAATCTAAAATGCCATGATAAGGATCTTTGGATCGAAATGTGTTTCTGCACATGAGGCTTTATACTATAACAGACTGCAGCTCTGTGTGACAATGTGCCTCTTTCATGGAGAGTTATCATTGGTTGTATTTAAAGATTTAATTTGTTTTTATTTTAAAAGAATAACACAAACAATGTTGATTTTTTTTTTTTTTTTTGCTTACAGGGGTTTATTTGATTACCTAGCTGGTGGTTCTTCCTCATTTTGTTATAACTTGGTCTGAATAAAAAAAGATTTGGATACTGTGGACTATAGTAGCACTGGGTGGGGAACGCCCCCCGGCAATCACACACCACCGTTGATCACATAGGAGTCTGCCTATAAATCTTTCATCCAGCCACATATGCTGGGCATATGCCTTTTGCACAGCATTCCCGCTACTAGATAAAGCAGAACAACATAGACATTTCCTGTGCTCCACAAATCCATCTAGTTGTGGGAATGTCATGCGAACAGAATTCGCCCAGCCTACGGCAAAAGATTTATTAGTAGACCCCATAGGGTTTACCTGAAGGTTGGAAACACTAGTAGTACATTCCTTGTCTGTATGGGATTATGTGCCTCTGCTCAGGATGTTACTGGATGAGGCCACAAGTAAGGACACCTGCAGTTCTTTTCCAGCTTCCTCTTCTACAGAAGTGAGCTTTTTTTGGGGGGTTGGTATATACCAGTGGTCCCCAACCCCCGGGCCCGCAGACCGGTATCGGTCCGTGGATCAAATGGTACCGGGCTGCCCAAAGAACATTAAATTATTTCCATTTTATTTACTGTGGTGTATTTCTCTCGGGTTTTGTCCGACTTTCCAGGACGAGAGGTTAACCGGGAGCTGAGAGACGTCACCTAAAGCCGCACCAATACCGCGCATGCGCAAAATATCGTGGTATCGGGGTGGTTTTAGGTGACGTCTGGAGCTCAGGGGCTGCAAGCGGCAGTGGCGTTGTAGCTTTGGTAAAGAGAAGGTGTGTACCGCTCTTCTCTCTGTTCACCGGTACTTTCTCATGTTTAACAGTGCTTGGTGTACGTGTATATTTTGTGTTTGCTCAAACTTAACCCACAAATTAGCAACAATGAGTACGAAACAGACGTCGTTAGAAAGTTTCCTTGGGAAAAAGAAAAGACCCAGTGAAGAGACAGAAGAAGGGCCTTCAACATCAAAGAAACATGTAACTTTTACCAGACAATACCATGAGTCCTACTTGAAATATGGATTTATCGGGACAGGTGATTCCAATCTAAAATATAAACAATCAACGTCCCCCCCTCAGCGGGCCGCGGTAAAATTATCAAACGTTGACCGGTCTGCGGCGATAAAAAGGTTGGGGAGCACTGGTATATACAGTACATCGTACCACAGGAGTGGGCTTATTAATATGGAATTCTGGAGCCCATCTGTTCAATCCAGGAGCCAGCAGGATTTTGTTTTTTGAGGAGCCAGCTCCATTGACAACAACTAGAAGAAACATTAAAGAAGAACTGCCAGGAAAAAAGTGCTTAATGTATGCAGTGGGGCTACCACCGCACTGCAAGGGTTAAAAGCTAATTTTTGCCTTGGTGCAAAAATAACAAAGCTAAAATCACCCGATCCACAGATATGGCTGGCTCTTAGACCTTTCCTTTTAGCCTTTCTCTCCCTCTACTCTAGCAGTCGCAGGCCCCATTCACACTGCGCGATTCACAAATCGAGCGTTTGTCGCGCGATTTGCATTTTGCGCAATATCGCGCAAATGCTTGCATTGAGCAAGCGAGAATCGCGGGAAAATCCGCTCCAAAAAGGGTCCTGCTGTAGCGACACACGACCCGCGACAGCAGGACCCTTTGCCCCATTGCAAAGCATTGAAGAGCGATATCGTGCGGTAAATAGCCGCGATATCGCGGGAATTACCGCCCGATAAATCGCTCAATGTGAACGGGGCCTAAAGGCCTGTGAGCCATTACATCCTATATATGTATAGGATGCCGAGGGACCTACCAACTATGCAGCGGAGGATGAGTGCTCTAACAGCCAGATGGTTTCGAGAGGTTGGGTCAGTATACCTTTTGTTATTTTTACACCTAGACCAAAACAAGCAACCCTTGCAGTGTGGGGGTGGCTGCACTGCAAGGTTTAAGAACAAAATTCCCATGAGTTCTTTAAAAGTTAGGCTTTTAAAGCTGTAATTTTTAAGGAGCATTGGCTACCTGGGTTTTGTCCAGCCCTGCCATACAACTACATTTCGGTGTTTATATAAAATAGCAAGTTAGTGACCAGGAGTCACATGATCTCTAGTATGCGCTAAAGATACCACATGCGTTTCACAGGAACTTTCCAGCAGTTTGCTCTTACAAATTAATTTTTCAGAGGTAAAAAGATCCCAGGAACAGAATATTCTTAAAGGAGAACTATGAGGTGAGTGCTTTTCACTCACCTCATAGTTCTAGCCGACCTGTGACAATGAGACTTTCACAGGTCGGCTCAGTAGATTGGGAGGTGAGCGAACATATAGCGGCGTTCGCTCACCTCTCGATCCTGTCACGGCTCTCTGCCGTGACAGGGGGAGGGGCTGGATTCCCCTCTCCCAGCTCCGATCCGCCAGCGCTGACTGGTGGAACGGACGGGGGAGGGGGCGGGTACAGCTGGCTCTGCCTCTAGATAGGCAGAGCCAGCTGTCACTCACGCAGCTGGGCGGATCTCGACATCCGCTGCGGCGTCTCAGTATACCGCGAGCTGTA